GAGTTACTGGGGAACTTACTGATTTCGCGCATGCGCACTCCATTTTTGCCAACATAAAATCAGGAGAGTTGCGCTACTGTATATACTGTGTCTCTGGGTTAATTTGGAGCAAGCGACGCGAACAAACGGCCTCGTGTAATCTTTCCACCATGCTCTTGCCTCAGTCTCAACTCGAGGCCCTCAAGTGAGCTTCAGCGATCAATATCTCGGCTTGCAAGGCAGGTTGATAGTTTTTTTCTGTCAGACTCGATCGTTTCAGAACACGTCAAATGAATCATATTTTATCACAATCACGGAGGTGAAGAATCTCAACTGAAAAACTATCTAAATATTTAATGTGAGCGTCGATTGTGTCTTCGAAACGAGATGAAATGTCAAAAGAATCGCGGAGTGACATGGACCACTCTGGAACTCGGAGGTCTTCTAGAAGACGAAGACTCTCATGTGCACTTTGTGAGAACCACTAAGCACCTTGCGTTACATCCATATCACTTGAATAATATTCAGCGAGGTCTAAATGAGATTTTAAGATCGTTGTTAAATACTTACGACAGGGAGTACGTACATTCATCTATACTTTTTTAATATATAAATATAAAAGGTAATTATTTGGAATTCTTCTTTCACCTACAATTTTGATAAAATTAGGTTCAACGCGTTTAACGCGTCTTTACACCAAACCAAAGAATCTGTAAAGGTACGTCCAGACTATCGAGCCGCGAGTCGAGCTGCGAGCCGGGCCTACATCCATCCACATTATCAAAATGAATATCTATAGGTTCGCAGCAAAGCTTTGAATGTAGACGTAGGCTCGGCTCGCGGCTCGATATATGGCATAGAGGGTGTTACATAAATTCTCTTCTTTAAAAATACAAATCTTCTGCCTTAAAAACACATTATTTTCTATATAATTTTTGTTTTTACAGTAGAAAAAATATTTTTAAAGCAGACAAATATCTAATCAAAACAAATTCTCTACTGTAAAAACAAAAATTATATAGAAAATCATTTTTATGCTCAAAGCATGCAGAGAATGTGTTTTTAAATTAGAGAATTTGCTTTTAAAGCAGAGAATTTGTGTAAAGAAGAAAAAAATACTATTGTTGAAGAAAAAAGAAAATACTTATTCTAGTCTTAATCACATGTTGTGCATGACCGTGGCGCATAGTCGTGTCGCTGCATCTCGTCGTTGACAGATTTTCTAATCTCGATAGTCGTCAACTTTTACGCTTAATATCTCGGTTCGCGGAGCCGAGCCCTACGGTTTTTCTTACAGATTCTTTCATTTCATACATGGTACGGTCAACGCGATGCTACAAACGCTTTGAAGCATTTTTTAATTGGTCAGTTTCTTTCTTCAAAATTCTTTCTTCTAATTGGTCCATCAAACACCATTTCAAGCATTTGTAGCGAGACTTTGACCGCAGTCACAAAAACGCGTCGAATGAGCTCAATTTCATCAAAATCGGAGGTAAGGGGAGCATTCTAAATAGTTACAAAAAAAAAATTGATTTTAGTTTACGAGGGAAGGGGGTGGAGGGAGCGGGAACCCTTAGCACATAATGTACTTAGTGATTGCAGAGGGTTTCTCCCCCTCATCCTCCGCCCCCGCGTGTAACACAGTGAATCATTTATATATTCTTGTTGTTTGCCTACGTTAAACAAGGATGAAATTACTTACTCTTCGTCTTTTTCTAATCTCTAGAACTAGAGAAAGACGAAGAGTAAGTTGAACCGAGATAATTAAAGTTAATCTACATTGGTGGAAAGGAGCCTGTGTAACACAGTGCCTGACTGTGCGTTCTGTTTTATACATGATGCGTATGATGTATCTTTCTTTAATATTCAATGAACAACAAGGATAAAATAATGATATATCATGTGCATCATGCATGGAACGGAATGCATGATTGTGTCTGCTGGAAAATGCTCAATATTTCGGTTCAGAGAGCCGAACGTGACCGCCACGTTTTTATACCGGATTCTTTTGTTTTGAGAGAAAACTGGTTAAATGAGTATATTTTTATGAAATTTCGCAGTGACGTGTATATTCTTAATAATTACCGCTTATTATTATAATTTGTGTACGTATGTGTTGTACTTAACTATGTAATAATGAACTATATGCGTTAGATACTATGAATAAACACATATCTATGTTAAAAGGAACATACTCCAAGATTCTTTTGAGATTAATATATGTTATTATTCACAATATAGAATTTAACAAAGTAATTTTACATTTCAGATTGAAAGGGTTTGTGCTGGCTTTTAGAAATCCTAAATTGCTTAGCAATCTGGGAGAATTACTCTATGATTCTCCCTTTATTCATGTTGACATTGAAGCAGATTTCTATCTATTCCATCCAACAGTCGGATCTTTTCTAAAAGGTAAATTATTTTCGCTGTTACGTCTCAGTAAACAAGAATGGATTAAAATGGATTGAAATTTTTTCTATCCGAATGCGTATTTTAAATAGCGAAGACCTTTTTTTTTGGATCTAATTGGATTCAATTGGATTCAATTGGATTGAAAAACTGTATTTTCTATTCAAAATTTTGAATTGAACGGTATTCACAATGCACAGAAAAAGCTGATATTATTTTTAGATTGAAAGGCATAAAGATATGCTCCATGCAATTCCTGTAAATGAATAAAAATGCATTCAGAATTGAAAAGCATTCATTTTAACATTCGTGAATCCATATTTCTGAAAATCTGAATCCATTTCAATCCATTTCAATCTATTCTCGTTTACTGGGATGCTCTATAAACTGATTTCTTGAAGAAAATTAATTATCATTAATCTGTGAAATGCATAATGTTCGTGTTTTTAATTTGAGTGCTTATTGATGAGTTTTATATGACATCTTGTAGTATTTATTATAAAAGAGATTTTCATTATGAAGAAATTTTGTGTTTTCTAAATTACTTACACAAGTAACAAGTAGTAAAATAAGTAGCAAGAATTATTGAATAACTTTTTGGTATAGTGAAGATGAAATATTTATTAATAGCAATATAAATGGATTTTAAGGAAATTATAATAATAACTAATATTATGTTGTAGGTATAGTGAATAAAAAGGGCTTGGACTATATCGTAATACTGGTACACAAAATATATACCGTATCTATTCCGAAACCGGATAATACGGAGCAATGGCTAGGTGAGTCAGTGGAGATTGGCCAGGAAATAAAATGTTGCATAACTCAAATACATCACAAGAGCAAACCTCCCTTCATCTGCGCTACTTTAAAATCCGATTATTCGCAAGGTTGTAGATTATCAGAAAGCATAACTGATATTGATAATATAGACAGTACAGTTGAAAGTGCAAATAGCTGTATGAAGATTGATATTAATGGAATATTGGAAAATGATGGTATTTCTGAGAAAGAAAAGAAAAAACATCGGAAAAAACACAAGTCTCGTGAAAGCAATTCGGAAATTGTTTACAAAATTGAAAATGAATCAGAGTTGAATGTAGGGAGCGATACTTTTAGAACTATTAAATCTGAAAAGAAACAGCAATACCGAAGTGTGCAAAACGATAATATAGGGAATGATACTTGTACAACTATTAAATCTGAAAAGAAACTGCAATGTCAAAGTACTTTATTAAATACTGATGATTCTTTGAATACTTTGGAAGTCGATAATATCCCTAGAAAACATAAAAAAAACAAGAAAACATCCAAATCCTTACTTAATAATGAAACAATTTTGGACGAACGTACCGAGTCATGTAAAGCTGTAAAGAGAGAAAATTCCATTCTATTAGATAGTATTACTGAAATAGAGACGAAAAAGAAAAAGAAACGTGTGAAGAAATCTAAAGAATCTGATTCAGAATTTTTATTAACAAAGACAGAAAACGACAAAGAAATAGTTAACAGTACAAGGAATACTATTCCCTATATTAAATATGAAGAAGAGCAACATATATCTAAAAAGCATATTGTATTAAACGTTAATACTTTTTCAAATAAATTAGGAGATAGCGTATCTAAAAAACATAAGAAAAACAAGAAGCCATCTATGATAATGTCAGATTCGGAATCAGAAAGTCACATTATTGAAATAAAAAATGAAAAGCACGATCCATGTATAAACAGAATTATTAATGAAAGAGCAAAAAGTCAAACATCATGTAGCAAGACTCAAGTCATACAAAATGTGAACGAAACTTTTGATACGCCTGAGTTTATGAAAAGAGAAAATTCCATAAAATATGACACTTCTGAAAAAGAAAGGAAAAAGAGTCCGAAAAAACATAATTCAAGAGACTCACGGTCGAAATCTTTCGAAATTAAGATAGAACATGACATAATCAGTAATGTCAGTAACGCCTCGGATAAAGAAAAGAAAAAAAGTTTTCAGAAACGTGCAAATTTGTCAAGAGATTCGGATTCTGAGTTTAAAATTAAAAGTGAAAATATAACAAATGATATAAATTATATTTGTCGAACAATTAAACACGATCCTGAAGAGTCTCAATATATGAAGTACAATACATCAGCAATAGATTCAAGCAATTCAGCGGGTCTTCATCATGTATCAAAAAAATCTAAAAAGAAGAAAACGTCTGTGGTATCAGATTCGGAATTGAAACTTTCCATTAAAATTGAAAAAGATTAAATTAAAATTTTTTATAAAACTGACTTTCAGATCTTATCCACATAATGAGAAAAATGCATTAAATGGCAATGTACAGAAACAAATATTTTTGTAATTGTACAAGAATTGGCGTTTAATAAAATTATCAAACGATGAAACCAAAATGTAGAATTAGCAACAGCATATAATAGAAAACAAAAACATTTTATTTGCAGATAAACTATTGTAACGTATACATAATGTAATTGTTATGTACTCTGTGGCTTAGGCTTGGACATTTAAAGCTTCAAAATTGTGCACTCGATAGTTTATTTTGATGCTATTTCTCAGGTTTTTTATCAACAATTTTAACCAATACGAGTATTTATAAAAAATTATGTATAGATCTCGCTTCCGATTTTGATAAAATTAGGCTTATTCGACACGTTTTTCTACGAGACGAAAGAATCTGTAAGAAAAACCGCTGGATCGGTTCCGCGAATACCCCGCATCTACAATAGATGTTTTTAAGCCTTAAGTCGTAAGAAATTGACTAATTCGAATTCGAGGAGAATAATCGACTATGGCTGCGTTCCACTAAACGCTCACAACGCTCGTGGAAATCATTTCATCCTTGTCGTTTATCAAATGTTAAACAAGGACAAACGATGCTCGCGAGCGTTGCGAGCGTTAAGTGGAACGCAGCCTATGATTCATGCTCTATTACCTAGTTTACATCGTGCACTTGATACGGATACTAACTAGTAACTTTCTATTGAATTATCTTAATTTCGGCGAAACTTGTAAACGTATACATGATATGTGTATTTAATTAATCCTTTTGATGCATATTCTACCAATTTAGTACATCATTCTTTAAACACATTGCTGAAATTAAAATAATTTAATAGAAAGTTAATACGCGTTTCAAGTGCTCGGTGTATAAGGGGTCTATAGGCCGGTATTCATAGGCTACGGTTACACCGTGCATTTAGGCCGCGGCCTATACAATAGACGTCTTTGTTTATCCTGTATATTAAACAAAGACACCTATCGTATAGGTCGCGGACTAAGCGCACGGTGTAAACGTAGCCATAGTCGGTTCTTATATTCAAGATCGTCTTAAGTTCAGCCTTGAGGTGTCACGAACCAATCAGAGGGCCGCATTAAATAACGTCTTAAGACGTTAATTAAAACGGTCTTGAAATAAGAACTGACTATGAATACCGGCTTATAACCTATCTTGCGACGCGAACAAATCTTTAGGGCCATTGTCACTGATTATCACCAAGCTTCGATTAACTTGTGTTAGTAATTTTGCAGGCTTCCAACTTAAGCTGATGTCGGAGAATTAATTCAGCTCGCATTAATTCTCCGACATCAGCTTAAGTTGGAAGCCTGCAAAGTTACTAGGCCGACTAAGACTGCGTTCCACTTAACGCTCACAACGCTCGGGAATTATTTTATCCTTGTCGTTTATCAAATGTTAAACAAGGACAATGATGCTCACGAGCGTTGCGAGAGTTAAGTGGAACGCAGCCTAGGTTAATCGAAGCTTGGTGACAATGGTCCTAAGGAAATCAACATGAGGAACACAGACTCTTGCATAACACATAAGAAATTCATCCAATCAGAATTCTTTATTTCATGGAAAGGAAGGAAACGAAGGATTTTGATTGGTTCATTTTCTTATGCATTACGTGTTATGCGTTATGCAAGAGTCTGTGCTCCCCGTTTAAGTTAATCGAAGCTTGGTGACAATGGCCCTTAAAGCCATCACACGTACAAAAATTTAGTTGTAATCGTAAGATCGCAAGCAAATCGGCCAATCACAATCGAGCGTTTTTAAATGCGAGATCGTAATTTTGATTGTGATTGGTCGATTTGCTTGCGACCTTACGATTACGATTTAAATTTTTGTACGTGTGATGGCCTTTAGTCTATGATATCGACCCAGTGTTGTTAGACGGACTCCCGTTTTCGCGCATGTGCATTAAATGTAGTCTCATTGGCGTATGTACTTAACTCGAGCAAAATAGGACGCTCTATAGCCCCGGTATTGTTTTTGAAAGCTATTCATAAATTTCTAGAAATTAATAAATAAAATAAAGGTGTAATATTATACAATATATGTAAATATAAATAACATTTGTATAATTTAATACAATTTGAAGTATTGATTAATATAACAAATATTATAAAGATAAGACAACAAAGGGAATAATGTCAAAATAATTGTTTATAAACACAATTTTAAATAAAAATTCTTTATTGGGCAGAAATAAAAGAATACCAACATTTGTTGTATGGGTAAGGAAAACTGAAAAATGTCAAAAACCTTACCAGTATTCATAATATAAAATAAATGCTTTTTAAAATAATAAAAATATATTTTGCACAAATCAGAAAGTAATATTTAATATAATATTTAATAATATTTAATATTTAAAATAATATTTTGTATGAAGAAGAAAATAAACATTTTATTTATTATTAAAAATGTCGATCTTAAATAATAAAATAACAGAATAGTAGATATAGATCTTAAATAACGAAATAACAGAACTAGACAAAAGTATTATAGTTATGCGTCCGTTTTTTGTCGTACGACGGATTTTTCAAGCGTGTTAATTGGCTGTGAGACAGAGAGGCTCTCGGACCTCTTATAGCCAATCAACAGGCTTGAAAAATTTGTCGTATGATTAAAACGGACGCATGTAATATTGGCCTTACACTCAATGTGACTACATTAAAAATATTACTAATACCTTATATCAGGTACTTCAGCTATTGCATCAGATACTTCCTTGAACAAACAATCTTGCGAGAAATGAAACATTGGCTGCGTTCAGCAGACTCAACAGTTTTGCAACCGTTTTATGATTGTCTGCTGAGATAGGACCATTCTTCTAGATCTAAAAGTATGATCCAATTAGCGCGAAAGAAACTTCCAACAGTTGCAAAACAAACGTTCTGCTGAACGCACCCATTGGCTGCGTTCAGCAGACTCAACAGTTTTGCAACCGTTTTATGATTGTCTGCTGAGATAGGACCATTCTTCTAGATCTAAAAGTATGATCCAATTAGCGCGAAAGAAACTTCCAACAGTTGCAAAACAAACGTTCTGCTGAACGCAGCCATTAATTATACGATTATTATGCATTAAAAAAATATTAATATAAACGTATATTTCTAAGTGTGAAATTATAAAATTAAAAAAAAATTAATAAATAAATACAATAACGTGAATTAAAGAAATGAAATTATTTATTGATCAGGATATAAATTTTGTGCATTATGGAGTTCCAAATGTCTTGAATCAATTACAAAATTTGTGCAATTAATATTATCGGACTGAAAACTTGATCGAACTTTACAAATAGCTTTAGAAATAGTATCATTGGATAACCGATTTCGTTTTTTACATTTAACGTCAGTGTAACTGTAGAAAATATTTTTTCTGCTTCAGCATTAGAATGCGGTAAAGAAAGGACTGCTTCAATTAATAATTCTAAATGTGAGAACATCTTTTCTTCATAATTAGGATTTTTAAAATCTAGTATCTTACTCCACATTTCATCTATTTCTAATGAAGCTAATTCTTCTTTTTCAGAATCATTAAAAACTGTTGGCAAAATTCTCCATTCAAATGCTAATTGCGTAATATCAATATTTTCAATATATGAAGCAATGTAAGATAAATCTTTAAATATATGTTTATTTTCGCTGTAAAGGATAATTTTGATTACTAAATGAAAGTACATGATCATATAAGAATCTTATATAATTTGTATGATATGAATCTCATCAGTAATCTTTAATGATTTAGGAATCTGAAATGAATCGTACACGACGATTTATATCGCAATGTAAAGATATTGCGATATAACCTTATAAGAAACTTTTAAAAAGTAGTTTCATTACAGGATTATCTAAGAATGTGGTATTAATTATATATGATTCTGAAGTGTTTCATGAAAAGATCATGTGTCAGTCTTAAAAAACATACAGTTACGAAATAGTTTATCTTTCAAGTTGGTGCAGGAATCTGGCGTGAGTCGTACACGACGATTTATATCGCAATGAAAAGATTTTAATTACTTTAGCCTAATAAGATACTTTTAAGAAATAATTTCTTTACGTGATAGCCTCCAAAGTAATAAAGGTATATCGATCGTCCCAGTAAACGAAATGGAATTATTAAAAGAACAGAAACTGTGGATTGAATATATGAAATGAAGAAGAATGAAGAAAAATTAAAAAATTTGTTAGAATACTGAAGTTAGAATACTGAATATATTATCACTGTCTTAATGAATTGATAAATTACAATTTCGCTATAATAACTGGGATAGGCTTTTTATGCTCCTTTCTCAAATTAAGTTTGATTTCGTCGAAAAGCCGTTATTCAATTTGTGTAAAAAGAATTAATTTTTAGCCAAAATGAATTCTTTTAAATCTCATTCAACTTCTTGCTTGTCTATTTTATTTACTAGGATTACGAGCAATAAATCACACAAAATTCCAATAGTATTCTTGTAATATTTTCATAATGACACTCCAGTTATATTCTTGCAAGATTCACGTAACCTGCGCGCAAGATTCATGCGACATGCGCATAAAAGTCATGTATATAACATGCTTATAAGATTTATGTAACACATGGGTGTAAGATTCTTGATTACCTACAGATATCGTATGCGATATATTCTTATACGATCTTGTATGTTCCTATCCAAAATTCGTATGTGAAATTTTTCCTGAAAAATCTCATAAGAATTTGCAAGGCTAATATTAGGAGAAATTATAAATAAACCAAGTTTAGGCAATTCTCTCTCCTACTCTAGATTACTGTTACGGAAGGTGTGTGCCATACTTCATATTAGGCGCCTATCTCATATACGTAATAAGGGGCTTTCCTCTTTTATTTTCATAATAGCAATCTACCCATTATAATTGACATCAATATTTATAAATTTTCCCTAATTATGGGCAAAATATTTTTTTAATTTACTATCGATAACTTTCTTTGTTATATTAAAAAAGGATTAAATGATCCATGGACAGATTGAATACCACGAAAAATATACAAAATAATAACTTTAATGATACAATAGAAATTACATATTTATGCACTTAAACGTAATAGTTATTGAAATTCATTGAAAAAAATAATTACAAAATGCTTAAACGTGATGACTGTTCTTTGTAGCTGAACAAGCATATACTTGTTCTATTAGAAGTGAAATTATGTATATTTGAAATTTGGTAAAAGAGTTTCAGTGCAATCCAGTGCAGCAACAAAAAACAAGCTTATAGACTACATTTACACGGCACCCCTAATCGGGTTTAATAACATCCGTAGTTACGAAACTGGCCAATCACATCGTTCCATTCTTCCGAGGTGCAGCTATGATTGACCAATTTCATAACTACGGATGTTATTAAACTCGATTAAGCGTGCCATGTAACAGAGGTTATAGTTTCCCAGATAGCAAAGCGTGTCTCAGCAAAATGGCGCAAATCTGTGATTGCTTACGATGCTGACAACTTGCCGTAGATTTGTCTTCAACGATTTCGAATATACCGACATTGTAGCACATGCAGACAACAATGTGTATATGTATTGCCAGCAGTTTAACAGCAAGATAGCTGCGTCAATGTTATCTTGCGTTGTCGGCAATATGACAGCTTTGTATGATGCTGCATATTATTATGGCAACATGATGGCAATAGTACGAATTTTGATGACAATTTTAAAGTTGTTGGCAAATTGCTGGTAAGTTGCTACTCAATGTTGTATCATATCGTGAAGGTATCAAGTTGCCAACAAATGAGGACTCAGTTTCTGCAATTCTGGTAGCAACACATAATTAGCAATGCATACTTAGTAAGCAGCATGCCAGCGACAAGACAGACACGTTGCTATCTGGGTTATTCTACTATAATCACTTACACTATTGTACTTACACATGCAGTCTTATTTGTTTATATTACACGGCTACTGATTTATATGCATTACATACGGAATTAGGGCCATGGCATATGAAAAAACTTAAGTAAAATGTAAAGTAAGTAAATTGGCCAATCACAGTAAAAATTGTAAGCAGCAACAAATCCAACATGTTGATTTCCTTACTGCTTACGTCTAACTTACTGTTTAAGTTTTTCTATGCCATGGCTCTTACATTTCATTTAAAAAATCCTTTGCTGACGCATGACAGTACATGTTAAAACGATAATTTGTTCAATTTTTTAAGAAGCCAATATCGCTCGTCATATTCTCCAATTCGCTGAACATTTGGTCAAGATGCTGAAATAAAAAAGATATGAGATATGAATTTCCGCGCACGCGCGCGTCTTCATTAAAACATTATTGAAAGATTTTAAATAAATATAAAGGATGTCTAATATAATTAATAACTAATTGTGTGCTACACTTACATCCGTTGGTTCTTCTTTGTTATCTTGTACTATTTCTGATGGCTTTGTTATAAATACTATGTTTCCATCATCATCAACATCTTTACCTTCATCGTTTTCTTCAACATCATCATTATTATCTTCATCATTGTTAGTATCGTTTGGTTCTTCCATATCATCATTGTCATTGTCGTTGTCGTTGTCATCGTCATCGTCATCGTCATCATCATCGTC